TTGAGAAAAGAATTGACTCTTCTCAAGGTTTCCATATAACTTCTCTTCTTCCAATTTCTTAATCACCAAAGTGAGGTGATTAGCATGATCTTCCTCGTTCCGGCTGTAGACCAAAATGTCGTCAAAGTATACTACGACAAAGTGACCTATAAATGGCTTCAACACTTGATTCATTAGCCTCATGAATGTGCTTGGTGCATTGGTTAATCCAAATGGCATAACTAGCCACTCGTATAACCCGAACTTCTTTTTGAATGCTGTTTTCCATTCATCTCCCTCAAAGATTCGAATTTGATGATAACCACTTCAGAGATCAATCTTTGAGAAGATATTGGATCCATGAAGTTCATCCAACATGTCCTCAAGCCTAGGTATGGGGTACCTATACTTGATGGTAATCTTGTTAAGGGCTCGGCTATCACAACACATACGCCAAGTACCATTTTTCTTTGCCAAATTTTTTTTGGTAAATTTTTTTGCCAAATTTTTTTTGGTAAATTTAAAACTTCCCTCCCATTACAAAATCATGTTCCTAATTGAAAATCTATAAATAGAAACTTAGTTGTGCATTGAATACACATTTAAAGCATGTCCCTTTTCACCTTCTTTCTCCTAACTTCCTCCTCAGACAGTCCATAAAGCTTCCTTTTGTCCTTCATTGTGCTGTCCGTAGAGATGTCCTCCCCGCCATCGTCACCATCTTTATCCTCCTTTTCTTCAGCTTCAGCCAGTACGGATCTGCCACCTTTGGTCCAGGTTCCACTCTTCAATCTGGACAGCCCTGCATCAGAAGATGAGGGGAGTAGTTCGCGAAAAAATGGTTGTGAAGAACGTAATGGTAAACGCAAACGAGTAATTGAAAAGTTACTCCAATTTTGTAAAAATGGAAAACTTCAGCGCGGCTGCATACAAGAAGTTGCTGCAGAATTCAATATCTCACGCAAAACAGTTGGAAGTCTATGGAGTATAGCTAAGACTCAAATGCAGGCAGGTCTACCCGTTAATGTTATATGCAAGTGGAAAGGGAATTCTGGGCCAATAATGGGTACTGTTGACATTCAAAAAATGTTAGTCGTACCCTTTCACAAGAGGAAGAACATCCGTGCCTTAGCATATGCAATGGATGTTTCAAAATCAACAGTTCAAAGGTGGCTAAAGTGCAAGAAAATAAGAAGACATTCAAATGCCATCAAGCCTTTTCTCTGTGAAAAAGGTAAGCTCAAAATACTTAAATATTGCTTGGAACATATTGTTGCCCCATCAATTCCCATGAACCCCACATTTCATCATTTCTATGACTACATTCATATTGATGAAAAATGGTTTAACATCACAAAGGAAAAGACAACATTTTATGCACTGCCAGATGAACCAGACCCATACAGAACTGCTCAATCAAAGAGTCACATACCAAAAATCATGTTCCTGGCAGCTGTTAGTAGGCCTAGGTTTGGGAATGATGGAGCTGTGGTTTGGGATGGGAAAATAGGAATATTCCCATTCACATATGAAGCTCAGGCCAAAAGATCTAGCAAAAACAGGCCAGCAGGTACATTAGAGGTCAAGGCAACCACCTCTATTAACAGAGATGAAATAAAAAAGATGTTACTGGAGAAGTTACTTCCAGCCATCAAAGAAAAATGGCCTGGTCCAACAAGAGATGTAATAATACAACAAGATAATGCTAAACCACATGTGGATGTGAATGACACTGACTTTGTACAAGCTGCACAGGAGGGAAACTGGAACATTAAGCTTCAATTCCAACCTCCTAATAGCCCAGACCTGAATGTTTTGGACTTGGGATATTTTAGGTCATTTGATACAATTCAAGACCAGGCAGCACCTAGAAAGTTAGAAGAACTCATCAATGCTGTTACCAAATCATTTGAGGACCTCACCCCAGAGAAGTTAAACAATGTTTTCTTAACATGTCAAAGTGTAATGGGGGAGGTACTTAAACATAAAGGGGGCAATAACTTCAAAATCCCACACATAGGGAAAAGCAGTTTGGCCAGACTTGGAAGGCTACCAGATAATATTGGGGTTACTGCACAGGTGTACCAGGAAGACAAAACATTCCTTGAAGAACACCTGTAGAAACATAATGGGTACTTGAAGAGTTTGGCCAGACTTGGAAGACCTGGAAGGGTTTGTTTTTTGTATGTACAAACATCATGGGTAAAAGTACAATACTTTAATGTACTCCCATTGAATGACTTTTTTGCACAACTTTTTTGTATGGCATGTAATCAGTGTAGTATGAAGATTTGGCATACAGATTGGGCATTGAAAATCTGCCAACTGATGTTTTTTTGTAGATTTCTTGACAAACTTTATGAGCAATGTAGCATCTCTTTTGTTATCAAAGGTAGTGTAGCATCTGTTTTCTTATCAAAGACAGTGGTATCTGTTCTCTTATTAAAGGCAGTGTAGCATCTGTTTTCTTATCAAAAGGTGTCTATTCTGTTTTCACTTAAAGAAAAAGTGTAGTATCTGTTCTTTTATTATAGGCATTGTATCATCTATTCTCTTTGGAAAGGTAGTGTAGCATCTGGTTTCTAAAAAAGATATAAAATCTGTTTTTTATACAGATTTTTGGCAAAATTGAACAGAGGTGGATTGTTGTAAAGAAATGAACACGGGTAGACCAATCCCAGGCAAATTGATTTTTGTAAGTCTCCAACACAAGACGTGGGTGACATTACAACACTAGCAACTCACATATCAACAAATGTTTTTCATGTAAAGCAGAGATTTGCATCATTAGTTTGCAAAAAAGCCATAACAGGTAAACCATAGAAAAAGAGAGTATAGAGCGTGTACTCTGTTCAGAGATCACCGATTCCCCGTCTTCATCCCCTTCTTCTTCATAACTCCGTTCAGGATCAGAATAGTAACCACCCCCTAGATATTTTTTGCGGAAGTTCCATGTTGGGTCTATTTTAGAGGAATCAGTGTCTCCTCCATCAAATCCCCAACGATTTAACTCAGCCCTCTTCATCTCAGCCTTCGATGGAGGAGGGGATCCATATCTAGGACATGCATCATCATCACTATCACTCAAAAGTTGAAAACTGGGAATCGAAGGATCGCGGGATAACATCGGATCAGGGCTGAGAAGATTAGGTCTGAAGTTGAGGAGGTTTAGATCTATTATTCGAGGATGAATTTAGATCTAGAGAGAAGAATAGATTTAGATCTACAGAAAAGGGAGAGGATGAATATAGATCTGGAGAGAGACGAAGGGGTGGGAGTGGGAATCGGTGCAAATGCTGGGTTGGTGTCAGGCGAAATCAATAGGGTTTGGATGGAGGGGTAGAAGAGTCATTTTAAGAGAAATGGGAAATGTTTTAAGGGACGGAGAAAAAAAGAAACGGGAAATGTTTCACGGGACGGAGGGAGTATATGTTTGTATTTAGTAGTATGACTTCTTTTTTAAAATGAATATATAGTTTAGTTATTTAATTGTGGTGCTATAGTTTGTTAAATGTTTTGTTATTTTGGTTTTGGTGAATAAGTTATGAGTCTCTTTTGGTTAGTTTTGTTCTGCTGCAAGTCTGTTTTGGCATGTTGTGTTTTGTTCTCTTGGTTTATATGGTGTTTTGTTCTCTACTGTTGGAAAAAAAATTATTTGAACTGGTTGTTTGGGAACAACCGATTCAAAAACCCTTCCCTAGAACTGGGGCCATTTCTGGGGAAGAGTTTTTTAATCAGTTGTTCCCAAACAACAGGATTCAAAAAGTCCTCCCCAGAAGTGGCGCCAATTCTGGGAAAGGGTTTTTTAAATCGATTATACAACCGATGAAAAAGTTTTTGCACCAATTGCATCGGTTTGCAACCGATTTAAAAGGTTAAAAACAACCTATTCAAAAAGTCCTTTTTATAGTAGTGGAGGAAGCTTGGGGACTAGCTGGAAACAAGAAACTTTAAAAAGAGAGAAGTATGACGTGCACCGATGGCTGCTGACATCATTGAAGAATAGAGAAGTTTAACGTGCGCCGGTGGTTGCTGACATCGTTGGAGAAGAGAGAAGTCTGGTGTGCACTGGTAACTGCTAACGTCTTTAAATAAGAGAGAAAGGGTCGGCGTGCGCTTGTAGCTACTAACGTCGAAGAAGAACAAAGAAGGCTATTGGAGGTGCCTGTTTGATTAAAGATCCTTGACATTCTTTGTCTTTTTCTTGGATCCGGGCAATGCCCAATTTATTTTCTCAATTGGAAAAATTTGTATGACTTATTTTTAGAGGGGTGAGTTGTAGATGTTTTCTTTCCTCTATTTCCCCTTTTAATTTGGTTTTGGTTTTGTTTTTATTTGCTTTGGATTTTTATTGGTTTAACAGAAGAGAAAGAGAAGGGAGATTAATGATTAGAATGAGTTGTTTGAGAGAGAGAAAAGTGGATTAAGAATTGGTGATGCAAAAAAGATCTTGGTCTGAGATTCTGATATGGTGAATTGGAGAGAAACAACTACCATGTTTTTCTTAATTTTGAGAAGATAGGAAAATTAGTTGAGAGGGTTTTTGAGGAGTTGCTGATCCAAAAAAATGAAGGAAGAACATCAGCCCGGTGGGCGGCTAATGGCGGCGCCGCCCGTCCAAAGCTAAGCGAGCGCAGAGAATTTTAGGTTACAAGAGCGGTGGATCCGTAACCATGTTAAAGTATTAGAATAATAATATTGTTCATTGAATTATGAAGTACATGATAGAGTATATATAGAAGAGAGTTCTAACACAACTAGAAATAGAGAATGGAAACTAACTAAAATACACATGTACCACAAATAGGAACAAAAAGCTGACTAATAATCAAATATTATAACCAATACTACCATAAGTAATACTTTTATTATTGTCTAACATTAATGTCTTCTTGCTTCACAGGCTAAGTGGTATTTGTAGTTTTGTACTCTACCTGGTGTTGGTCTCAATGTGGCGAGTTACATTTCTCTTTTCCCTCGATCTATATGATGAGAATCTTATCAATACTCATTTTTGGCAAGTAATAATTATAGCGATTTTCGTTTCTTCAGTTTTTAGTCCCATAATTTGGTATATTGATTATTACAAATCTATGAACTTTGACTCTGCTAAACACCTTGAGGTAGTATCCTTCCGTTTTTACTGTGATGGGTTTGCAATGCACTGATGTAAAAGGTGGATAGATCTAACTATGCCTTTATAGTTCAATTTTCTAATTTCGAATAACATGTTCTTTACTTTCAAAAATTTCTTTTTTTTAAATTTTAGTTGTACGTAGTCCAAATTTAAATGTTGTATCTAGGTGTCACGTGATTTTTTTTACAAAGCCCCACCCCTCATTTGGAAATAGCATGCTATTATTTTCTATGTATCAACACCAACACTCAATGAACGAACTCATAATACCAGATGAGTTCTATAATATGTGTTCTTTTATCTTTTGGAAATAGTCTCTACATAGTAAGAGTAATGTTTGCATGCACACTCCCTACTTAGACTATACTACTACTTGTAGGATTTTTTTTGGGTTTGCTCTGTTTTTTTTTGTCTAAATTCTCATCTCTGACTTGCTTCATTTCCTTAAGTTTGTGTTGTGTTCATGTAGAACTACAATATTCAACAACCTTTCAAGACAATGGATATGATGTAATAGATGGATTGCGAACATCTTTGTACCTTCCGTACGAAAGTAGATGTTCAGATATAATTACACTGTTTATTTTATTGGGCAGGTTTTGTAATTTATAAGGACATATTGGTGACAAAACCATCAACTTCTAACCAAATGAGTTATATATGGTTTTTGGGTGTCTCTAAGAAACTACAAGAAAGGTGATTTGGGGGGTGTATTCAATCCTTATTTTAAAAGACTCTGATAGATTATTTAGAATTCATGGATTTTGTAAAATTCATGGATTGTTTTAAATCTACACAGAATTAGATAGACTATAGTGTATTTTATGAGCAAGATTTTATAGGATTTTGTCAGATTATTTATAATCCATTGATTATTTATACATTTGATTTATGCGCAAATTCCCCACAAATAATTTGGATTCCTCCAGCGGTTCTGTGTACTCGCGGAAGTCTTTAGCAAACACACTACCATTCTCTCCGGCATCTCCAACCACCACCAAAATCCCTCCTCGTTTTCTTCACCCTCCCCAAATTCATCTCCGACCATATTTTCAACCCAATTGAAAGGAGCATCGCTGAAATCTCCAGGCTCCCGCAGACACCCGAGAAAGTAGAGAGGGTTCCAGCCCAACACTGCCCCCCAAAAAATCCATCAAAATCAATATTAAATACACCCCCCTTAGTTTCTTAGTGAACCAATTCATTTGATTTAGTGCTAAATTGTGTGTATGTGAAATAAGTATTCTTGGTCATTTTGTTTGCATAATTATGCTACTAAAATGATATTTTCCTGATTGGATATTAGAATATTTGGGAATGAATTTGGTTTCACTTTAACTATTAAAAGGAGAATTTGTGTAATGGGACCTAAAAAAATGATGGGGAAGGCAAGTGGGAGTAGTTCTTCCTTTACTTCTCCATGTAATGGAGATACTCTAAAGTGAGACGTTGAAAACTACAAGTACCTAGTCTGCCATTTCTATTAACAGAGGCAACCAAACCGACTGGAATTATGGCTAACCCACTTTGATAGTTTTCCTAATAATAGCCCATCAAGTATAGCCCCTCCTCCTCCTCCCGTCCACTCCATCTTCTTCAATCCTTTCTTCTTCTTTCTTTCTATCGTTCTGATGACTCCAACCTAGATCTTAGATGATTCTCCGGTATTCCCTCTCTCAACCTCATGCTCTCGCTCTGCATCTTACTCCGGTATTCTGTCTCTCAACCTCGCTACACTGTTCATGCCGATTTTTTAAAGCTGATTCCTCCTGAATTTCTTGAAGGTTCTTGATGTTTTTGGGTTCATTGGAATCGGAATTAAAAAGGGAACAAACTTCAGAGTTCTTTCTTGTTGATTTGTGGCTAGAGGTTGTTAAATTGGAGGTCAAAAGGTACGAGGTCACTGTTCACTTGTAAACCTTGTTCGCTAGACTTCTTCACAAGTGCGGCCATTTCGATGCTTCTTCTCGAGGAATTGGGAGCGCCTGGTTTATTTAGAATCTAAAGTTGTTTTGCCATTCCATTTAAAGATTTCTTTGATTTAGCCGAGATTAGGGTTCACAACGGCAGAGCATACAGCTATGGGGTGGAGGGCATTTTGGGAAATGGGGTGGAGGGCATTTTGAGAAAGTCAACTACATTTACATTTGTTTTTAATATGCGTGCCCGGTCAAACCGGGAAGTTTAATTTTGGGCGGAGGGAGTAATTCTTCTTTCTTCACTTGTATATTCAATACTAAGGAGCATAAGAGGGGATTCAGCCATCCTTTTGTACAACTCAGAATATTCCCCAAGTTGTAACACAAACCAGTGTAAACACTCCATTTAAGCCCCCAACAGAATAACAATTGTAAAATCAGCTACTTCGTACTTTCCCCCCATTCTTGAAAAAGAATAACAATACTGTGTATTTACTATATTACGATTGTGAAAGGCTGCATAACCTCACTGGCACACGCATACCGTCGTGGCTGAGTTGAACATCAAGATCTTCGGTCTCCTTGAGTTGCAGAAGAGCCTTGTTTATTTTCTCATGATCCATCAGGTGCATCATACCTGCATCACGATTTTTTTCCATGCATTATGCCTTTATTAAGTGTAGAAAACAATGCTAAAACATATTGTGGGAGTAAATACTTAGAAACAAGAAAATTCTAACATAACAAGACAGTTACACTATGTTTGGCTCAAGGAATTTGAGAGGAAAAGGAAAAGAAAATGAGAAGGAAAACATTTTTCTTGTTTGGTTAGAGAGGAAAAGAGAAAAAAGTGGAAGGAAAAGAAAATGAGAATATAAAATGTACTAAGAGGAGGGAAAACCAAATTCCTCTCATTTTGGTGAGGAAAATGAGGGAAAACTGTTTTCTTTTCCGAAAAGTGTTAAAATATATTTTACCAAACATAGTGTCAAAATTAGAGGAATTTGTTACAATATAAACCAATATATTTTACCAGTGAAAAGTGTTCTCGTCGGTTTGATTTTCCAAACTTCCTCAAGAGCCTAGAAAAGTATTAAAACATGAATATTTGGAGAAAAAAAATAAACCAATGGTGAAAAACTATCCTGTTTCCAGAGCTAAAAGATGGAGAGAAAGAGGAAGAGGTGAGGTGAAGGATTACCCTTGGTAGTCCAAAATGGGTAGCTGAAGACCTATCTGGCCTCAAAGCATCCTGAAGATCAAACAAATACATTCATGATTCACCACTAACACATACTCCCTCCGTCCCTTAATAGTCTTCACATTTTGACTTTGCACAGAGTTTAACAAAGGTGAAATTGTGTGGCTGAAATTTGTGCAGAGAGAATGAATGTGAAGCATAAAATTTCTTCTTTAAAAGGAAATGGGAAGATTATTTAGGGACAGAGAGAGTATGCTATTAAGTCTATCAATAATTCAATATGCAAAGCACATATAGCCCAGAGATATCAATCTGTTGCAAGTTTGCAACTCGTACCAAGATAAGCAGTTCACAGTCCTCCAGGAGAGAGTATGTTTCTTGAGGGATTTCACTAACATCACTTAAAAACAAAGAAGAAATTAGTAAGCTGGTCTACAGTGACTACCCATCCCCTGAAAAAAGGGCATTTTAATATGACATGTGTACCTTATGTAACAGACGTTGCCAAAACGAAACCCCAAAGAACGATAACCAGTTCCATGCCACACCGGTAATGGTATAATCTTAAAGCACATTGGTAAAGCTTGATTGGTTATAAGGAATGCAGATATCAAATAGCAGTCATTTTGTAGTAAGCATAAAACTATGTTTGGGTCCCAGAAAATGGGGTAAGGAATAGAAATGCCAAATAAAGGTAAATTTTCATGTTTCGCTTTACCCTGAAACAGTGCACAAGATAAATGAGATATGAATAGTTTTCAAAGATTGTTACATATATTTATAATTCTTGATGTTTATACAATTAATAGGAATAAATAAATTAATAAAACGAGCTTATATTTTAAAACAAAATAAAAAATCAACATACTACATATTAACTTTTCCCTCTGATTTTATTTTCTTGCAAATTTACTCTTTTCCTCCCTAATTTATTTCCCAAGTGTATTCTGAGTCCCAAACAGACTAAAGAATTCTTTGAAAATGAATGGTAGCCCAACGGAAAAATATAACTTCAAGTTCAACCTCCAAAACAATCAGATTTACAAACGTACATAAAACAGATATCTTCATTTCTGATGCTAAATTCATGCAATTTTACAAAATTAAAAAAAGGAAATAATAAACTCAAGAACATATAATTTACCTTGAGACCATGGACAATAAATGGGTCCTCACTTATGATGTTAAATTGCAGATCTGAAACAGCAGCACCAGGTATGATACCACTAGTGTCGACCAAATAACAGTGAGTTTTTTTCATCACCTAGCATTATCGTGATATAAACATGTAAATATATAAAAGTCATCTAGGGTAGAACCTTCTTTTAAAGAGTGAAAGAAAGATGGAAACTTGGGTGCCTCTGTGTAATTCCTTAGGTGTTCCTCAAGTAACCAAGGTGTAAAGAAGTTTTTCGCCTAAAATGCGATTGATTGGGGTTTACAGCCTTTATCACAAATATTGAACTAGAACCTAATTTATACGGAGTACAAAAATTCTTGAGACGTGAAAATTAAACATCAATATGTGACTCTTATGCCTCACATATTCATTTGGGGATGAAAAAGATAATCATGTAATCATTTCCCAATGAATATGTGACACCTTAAGAATGTCACCTAGTAATGTCAATTTTCCAGGCCTCCCTAGAACTGCCTTTATATGCTATCTGTGGGAACCAATGTTCGAAAAGGCGAAACGGAAACGCGCCTCAAGGCGCGCTTCGTAACTTTTTCCGGAAAAAACGCCTCAAGGCTAATCCCGTTTTCACGCTATAGGTTTTTTTACGCTATTCTGTGAAAGGCGTACGCCATGGGGCGTACGCGCCGGTGCGCGCAATAAGGCTTACGCAATTCCAGCATAAGAAATTGGAAATTAAACAATTTAAATTTTGGGTATTGAAGGTTTAAGTTGTCAATTACTCCAATTAATTAACCCAATTAAGGTGTATATATCCTAAAATTACCCAAAATTAGTGTCGATTACCTTTTGGCGAGCTACGAACCGTCTCCAGCCGTCCAGCATCGCCGTCTGCAGCCTTCTTCTCCGGCGAAAAGGTATGCAGTCTTCTTCACCGTCTGCAGTCTGCGTTTCTTTAATCTCTCTTTCTAGCTGTGTTTTATGTTTTGGGTAATTGTTCATTTGTTTTGCGTTTTATCTCTGCGTTTTATGATTATTGATTTTATCAGCTACGTTTTATCTCTGCGTTTTTCCAATCTTCTTTCCACCTGTTAATATCCTCTCTTTTTTTCATCTTTTTTTTATTACTGATGTGCTAATTGTTCTATTTTTTTGTTTTTAAGATGAATTATTGTATAGTATCGTATTGTTTATTTTGTTGTTTCAGAAATTAGAATATTGCTTAAATGTCGGACCCAGCATGGAAATTAGAATATTGCTTATGTTCTATCTTTGGTTTTATATTATTTTGTGAATGTTTTTCAATTTAAAATTGAGGCTTACGCCCCAAAACGCCTCAAGGCTTACGCCTTACGCCATGAAATGAAAACGCCTCAAAACCGCAATACGCCTTTTCGAACATTGGTGGGAACAAACCAAACACAGAGTGACATTAATTGCACAAAACTCATAGTTGTATTTAATTGTCAGTGTTTCTGCAGTTTAACAATGATAAAGAAACGAGTTCCATTGCATAACATTGTGATCGATAGAAACACCTCAAAGTCACGCTCTGCTACATAAATAGGCACACAGGCCTGGACATTATTAGTCCAATCACGAAGATCATCCAGACCTGCAAGAGGTACAAATGTATGTGCAGAAATCAAATTTATCGCATTGAAGTTTAGAACAATAATTCAAATACCTCCAATTGCATCGGCATGAGAATGAGTTATAACAACTGCATCAATAGTTCTTATCCTGAAAGAGACAAGGAAACAAATTATAATCAACAATGTGATCTACTGATCTCCATCCATATTTTGAAAAAAGGTGCAAATTTCACATCCTTTCAATAGTGCATAGAAACAGCATCTTTAATTATATATATATATATATATATATATATATATATAGATTGACTCCAGTGAGATGACACATTATGGTGAGATGACATGCTTCGGTGAGATGACGCAAAGCTCACCACACTACATTACAAAGCTCACCAATGGACAATGCAAAGCTCACCTAGAAATAAAGTAAAGCTCACCACTTTGAACACCAAAACTCACCTTTTTTTTAATATTAAATATTTAAAAATAATAAAAAATAAAATAGCAACACCGGCAACCACCGGTCAGCGGCGGCGGTTGCCGGCGACCGGCGGCGGGGCGGCAAAGGATTCCGGAGACCGGCGGCAGGGCAGCGGCGGATTCCGGCGACCGGCGGTCGGTGGCGGCGGGCCGGCAGCGGATTCCGGCGACTTGCGGCGGCAGGTGGCGGTCAAAGGTCTCGGTCAACGGTCAAAGTCCAGTCAGCACCCATTTCTTTGATTTTATTTTTCAAAAAAAATTCAAAGTGTTGAAAAAATATGGTGAGTTTTGCCTTACAATTTGGTGAGCTTTGTAGTTGTTCTTGGTGAGCTTTGCAGTTGGCAGTGGTGAGCTTTGCGTCATCTGACCGTAGGATGTCATCTCACCGTAAGGTGTCATCTCACCGGAGTCAATCCCATATATATATATATATATATATATATATATATATATATATATATATAAAGCTTGGATAATCTTAAAAATCTTAACAATCAAAGATAGAAATTTTGAAAAGATCACTCTATGGTGGAATGGGATTTTTGGAGAGGGTTTGTTGAATATGTCGTTATTTTGAGTACAATGGTTTACTTTGAGGCCATTCATTATGTAAACTTCATTCAATAGGTGATTGCAAAATCTCACCTAGCTGCATATTGAAGTGTGGGGCAACAGGTGTTAGAGCTGAGTATTAAAAAGAAGTATTTGGTAACAGCCACAATCAAGGTGGAGATTTGTTACAACTTACTATTCTCGTTTACAAGAATTAGGGCAAAGATCCAATGGCATGGAGGATTACCAGAGAGAGATGGAGATGCTCATTGCTTGACCGGCCATAAGGGAGTCGAGAGAAGCAACGATGGCCTGATTGCTGCATGGGCTTAGGCAGAAATTGCACAGGAAGTGGACCAACAACAATACACAACTTTAGACGACATGGCCTACGTTGTCATCTGAATTGAAAAATACTTCAAGAAAGTGTCTTCTAAATACAACTAGTTAGATGAGGATGCTCACCGTTTCTCACCGTCTACTTATTCTTCAAAATACAAATTCATCCTGGAAATCACCGTCTACACTTTGGTGAAATTTTACCACAAAAGAGGGAGATAGAAGAGTTTGATAGTGAAAAAAAATGTAGAGCTGCAAAGGCACTGAGGGATCCCACAAAAATACATTTGAAACACAGAAACCCTGCGGCCTGCACAGGAATCCAGTATTTTAAATGTAAGGCGTTGAGACATTTCTTCATGATGTCGCAACAACTGGGCTTTGGTAGTGATAGGTAGATTGTGATGGATAGTGAGGATGAAAGTGAAAAGGAAAATAAAGGGGCTGAGAAGAAAGAAATGATGGAGCCTGTTGTTTCACCCATTGTGGTTAGGAGAATTATGAGCACCGAGGTAAAAGAAAAGGAGTGTGCAGAAACACAATATCCCACTTTGTAGTATAATTATCAACAATGGTAGTTGCGTTGATGTTTTCCATCGTCTCTAATGGAGCCAAAGATTTACTATTTTTTGGCTTTGGGGATATGATGGAATAAAGCAAAATCACTCTTTAAAATGTTTGCACTTCTTTCAAGTGAAAAAGCAGTTAGTCAAAGGGCGGGAGCCTTTGAGGCACTGGGTAATGCTGTTGTTGTTGGTAGTTGCAGTGATGCTGCACTGATGTTGTGAGTGCTCTCTTGTGGAGAAAATGGGATTGCCTACTATCAAACATCCAAAACCTTACCCGTTACAATGGTTGAATGATAGCAGAGAATTGCGGGTGACTGGGGTGAGCAAACATATGAACATTTCGGTCTGTACTCGGAGGTACAAAGATGAGATCACTTGTGACATTGAACCTATGCATCCATGCCAAATACTCTTTGGGAGACCATGACATTTCGACCCAAAGGTAACTTGAACAGTGTCACTAATTGAGCAATTGTGTCCATGACACTGACGGAGTTCCAATGAGATCATGTGAAAATTTAGTCCAAGCTGGATGCATTTTTTAAAAAATGGAGAAAAATGAAAAGAGCCGGAAATTAAGATGAAGAAAAACTCAAAAATCAAGAAATGAGAAAAAATAATATCATATTGGTTGGAGAAAACTAAATAGCAGGTCAATAGGATGAGGGCGAGGTAATGTATTTACGACTCTTAAACGAGAAAAACACTATAAAACATTTGAACAAGGAACTTCCTAGCATGTTTCCGGACGAATGACCATCAGGTTTACCACCTGTTCGGAAAATCAAACACCATATCAATTTTGTTCCAGGAGCCACCATTCCAAACTGACCAGCCTATCGGAACAAACCAGAAGAAACAAAAGAAATTTAGCGTCCCCCAAGAATGATGAACCGTGGAGGATGTGAATTGATTGACGTGCTATGAACAACATCACGATAAGTATCACCATGCTCTTCATTGACTTGATGACAAGTTAGATGGATTGCATAGTGCTTGTATATTTCCTTAGTTAATTCAATGTGGGGTATACCATCAAATAATATTGAAAGATGGGGACGAGTGGAAAACGGTGTTCAAAACAAATTACTCCCTCTATCCCAAAATAAGACTCCTTGTTTATTTTTCGGGACGTCCCAAAAAAAGACTCTTCTTTTTGGTTTTGAAAAACTTTTTGTGGGTCACCAATCTTTACCACACAATTTTACTTTTCTTAAATTTTGTGCCAAGTTAATATGAGTGGGTAGTGATGCCTTTTAGGATAACTAACACCTAAAAACTTTGTGGAAAATTTGTGGTTGTTTCTTTTGTTGATATTCTTATACACCCTCCGTCCCAAATTAATTGTCTCTTTCTAGTTAAAGAGACTTCACAAAATTTATTTTCAATTAAAGTTATTTAAATAAAGGTACAAAATTTCAAAATAAAATTTATATATTAAAGAATTACATAAAATGTTTTATAAAACAAGAGGTGATCAGACTATGTTATTTTAAGCAAAGAAAGCAGATAAAGTTTGATGTGTGAATAGTAAATTGAGATGATTAATTCGGGACAAGGGAGTATATAGTAACTCTTGACAAAAATCTCACTCATATCAAAAGAGCTCTACTTGTAATATGAAAGCAGACACTATATAGTCTTGAGAAATGCAACTTTTAATACCATTTGGACAAGATAGCACGAAGGTGGATGCAGATAAGTCAAAGTCATTCGTGAGTGGCCACAACCTTTAAATTCCGTCCAAGTGAAAAGTTTTCATGGACTAGCAAGTTTATTCATGAAGGATTTTAATACCATTGTCATACATTTGAACGAATTGGTTAATAAGCATATCAATTTTCACTAGAAAACGCATTTAACACATTGAAAGAAAAACTTTACACATCACCTATTCTTGCATTACCAAATTCTTTTGTGAAATTTGAGAGTAAATGTGGCCACGGGGGTATTGGAGTTGTGTTAATCACTTAAGTGAAAAGTTACATACGTACGTACGTACATACCTACATTACGTAGGTAGGTACGTACACTTAAACAAACAAACAAACAAGCATACCTACCTACCTACCTACGTACAAAAGTACCATCCATCCATCCATCCTGTAACACCCCGGCCTCCATCTTGGCCGTAAGCGTCCGCTCATAGAATCGTAGAATGGCCCCACAAACCAACACAAGTCTTTTCCGCACACTTTGTTCTCACTCGTGCGCGCCCAAGGAAACTTCCCAGGGGGCACTCATCCTAGAATAGCTCCATGTCAAGCACGTTTACTATGGAGTTTCTAGGCAGGGGCAGACCCAGAATATTTTAACCATGGGGCCGCATCTAAAACAATTTATATCCTACTGTTACGTTTCTAACATTAAGTAAACAGTACTCCATAATATATAACATTAAAGTATACATATATTATAGAAATTATACATTTGGTTTCTTTTTAAAATATTGGTGCCTTTTAAAAATACATCTGCATCCTATATTGAAATTTAAATAATTAAAAACAATATAAACTAAAAAAATAATCTAATTATTTTAACATATTTACAAATCACAATCTTACAAAATAAAATAGCAAATTCAATTCCCTATTCACAATAACAAATTCGTAAGAATAAATTATAATAGAGCAATGCTAGGGGTACACCTTTGTCCCCCACCCCATTCTCCACCACTCAATTTTATTTTATGTTTACTTATTTAATTTATTTTAGTCTCTTGCCTTTTTTGTGGTTATGGAGGGGGTAAGGGACAAATGGGGTACACCCTGTACCCCTAACATTTTTCATTATAATATTCACAATTTACAAATATGAAAAGAAATATTTAGTTTAGATTAAATTATGTAAAAAAACATAGCAAATTAAAGTAGCGAATTATATCAAAAAAAACAGCAAAGGGGAAAAAAGAAGATTGGGTTGGAGTTTGGGAAAAAATCGCCAAGACCAGGGATCGAACCTGAATCTTCCAGGCAACATTACTCACTGCTCAAACACGGAGTTTTCCACTCCTTCAGCATGTTCACGTTGTTTCATGTAGCCACGTTGTTTCATGTAGCGTTTTGTAAATTATATACTAACTATACATATACGCCTAAAAATCTATATATATAGGTAAAAAAAATTAAAATTTCCGTGGGGTCGCTTGACCCCGTGTGACTCAACGTGGGTCCGCCCCTGCTTCTAGGTGATGAGCTCTGGAAAAGAAGATTCATCTTGTTGGTAAGAGTAGTACTATCAATCCTTAAAGTTCTTCTCATTCCCATCTTAATACATACATACATACATACATACATTACATGCATACATTACATGCATGCATGCATGCATGCATGCATACATACATACATACATACATACATACATACATACATACATACATACATACATACATACATACATACATACATACATACATACATACATACATACATACATACATACATACATACATACACACA